ATATAATCATCCAACTTCATGTCAATATATATATATATATATATATATATATATATATATATATTTTAATTCAATTTAATTAGAAAACAAACAACCTTAAGTGTTCATTTATTTATATGTATATATATAGTTATGCATATAGTTATATATATGAATGTATATATATAGTTATATATATATATAGTTATATATATATATATATATATGAAGAAATATAGTCTTAAGATGTGCTATATTTATGGGATAAAGTGCTTAATATCAGAGATAGAGCATGTATAAATATAAAAGTGAACATAGAAGTCAACACTTAGAGGCGACAGTCTGTTTCATGCTAGACGTAATCATCAGGCCTGACGATTGCATCTAGTTTGAAACAGACTTCTATGTTGACTTATATATATATATATATATATATATATATATATACACTGATAAGTTCTTGGTTTAACCAAGATGCCATTCCTAACTAACTTCTGACATGAGTCCTTTTAATCAGATTTTAGGAAGTAGGACAGGCTGAGAACTTTTCATCACACACCCCCCCATTATATATATATTTACAGCTTACTGCTTCTTCCCATCCTCATTGTAAAGAGTCTGTGATAATGAACAAATGTTATGAGTTTGAATTCATAGGTGTCATTCTCCTAGACTGGTTTCCAACCATGTTTAGAGAGCCAAGTCTGCCCTTCCATTTAACCCATATCTGGTGGGGGAACAGATGGATTCATATCTTTCTTAAGGATATTTGTGCAGAAGTGAATGTCATGAAGTTGATTGGGATTTGAACTCAGCTCTCAGATTTCTCATTTCAATCCACTATCCTTTGCACCACCTGCACATCTTATTGTCCATGAGTCTCATGAGGCAAAAAGTGATGTCAGTGGGTCTCAAATCTTCTGCCAACCATTACTCAGAAGCTGCAGTTCATCCTCCCTCACCACAAGGGGACAATGGAGTCACATCTCTGGTTCTGAAATCGGTAATCCTTCTCCAAGACAGAACATGTCACAAGACATTGCACAAATATTGCTACAATTGTCCATTGTTCTCAACATTCAGCAATGAGGATGGCAAAAAGTATATATATATATATATATATATATATATATATATATATATATATATAAATATATTGTCATACAGAGAGACTGTTTCACTGTATCACAGCTTTTTAGTGTGGCTAGACATCCGATTGCTTCAAGCCAGGATCAAAACCTGACCAATTTGGTATTAGTAACCCTAGGCTATTATCACACGGCAGAGAGGAAGAGAAATTTTAACATTTTCTATGCGAAATACATCAGTGGCCTGGAGAGCTCAATTCGATTGAAGAGCAATATGATAAAATCAGGGATAGACCGTATATAAATATATAAGTGGACATTGAAGTCAACACCCAGAGGCAAAACTCTGTTTCATGCTAAATGCATGGCCTGACGATTGTGTTTAGCATGAAACAGACTGTCATATTTCTGGGTGTTGAGTTCAATGCCCTCATATATATATATATATATATATATATATATATATATATATATATATATATATTATATTTCTGAATTTGATTTTATCTCAGTTTCTAATATTCTGTAGTTTTCATGTTTTATTTTGAATGTTATCCATTTCCAATTTATTTTTTCTGGACATTCTTTTAGATTTTATATTATTTTCACTGAAAATTATCATCAGGTATGGGGTAGTGGTTAATAAATGTTTTCAGGTTTTTTCAGGTTTATGCCTTCTCATCTGATCCTGACAATTTTATTTTCAATCATATTTTTTCTTTGAAAAAAAAAATCTCTCTCTCTCTCTCTCTCTCTCCATAAGTGTTCCTCTAATATGGATTCTATCTTTTTCTTCTATTTTTCTCTTTCACCATCCCTATCCCTCTCTTATCATTTCAGTCTTTCTTTGTCCTTCCTCCTTTTATTATTAACCTCCTCTTTCTTTATCCTTTTACTTTCCTTTCTCATCATCTGCTCTTACTATTATAATCTATCTCTCTCTCTCTCTTTTGTACTTCCTTCTATATTTCTCTTTCATTTTGTGTTTTCCCCTCAGAAAAATTCTTTCTTTCTTTCATTCCCCTTTGTTCAAAACTGTTTCTCATTGTCTATTGCTTTTTCTTTCTTTTTAAACTGCTTTCTATGGAATGTTGTTTACCATTTTCGTTATAGATATGGATTGCAATTCTCCTTATTCTTAGAAAACCTGATTTCTGTTTAGAACCAATTCTAAATGCTTTTGCAGGTTTGATATTTAAAAATGGTGTTGCGCTCTCAAATTTGATATCAAGAAAATCCAAAAAAGTATTTTCTCTTTTTAGGTGGTGAAAAAATATAGGAAAAAAAAAAAGAAACTGGTAAATTTATTGATTTGATTATGAATGACTGACTTTGCTGTCAAAGAAGAATGGAATAACCATTTAAAGAGAGATCCTGAGTTTGTTCTTTAGAACTTTGTTCTTATGCAGAACCATTGGGGAGATTCTTGTTTCATAAAACGTATAATTGAAATATATACATATGCTTATTACAAGAACAATAAATTATTTACATTATTCAGACTATTGTCCTCATCTTTGTCGCCATATTTATTGCAACATTTTGGCTGTTGTACACTCCGGCCTTCTTCAGGTGGTTGGAATGTCGAACTTAATTTATTTCGCTCACTGGGGTAGACTGTTCTAGTTCCACGTGCCATGTTTAATGGATGTCAATTATCAGTTATCTCCTGTTAATTCCCCTCTTCAAGTTCTCCACTGCCTTAACCGGGTATTGAACTCACACTCTTTGGGTCCTGTCACTGGATCTAACCAACATCTTTATCCACTGTGCCATGTGTCAGAAATATAGACAGATACTGAAGAACAATAAAATACGAATATGTATATCTACAGTAATGTGAAAATAAACTAGGATATCAATTTATTTCGTTAGCTATACATTTGTATCTATCTACAGACTTACAAATATTATATATGATATATCTATAGATTAAATAGTAGGGTAGATTGGGCTCTTTAGCTTTGGTTGGCAACTATTACCAATTCTTTGTATCCAATTTTTTTTTTATAAATCATTTCACCCCAGCAAGGCAGGAACGCTACTAGTACGCATGGTTTACGTAGAGTGAAGGTAGGAGAAAAGACTGGTTATAGTGGGGATCAAGAAAAGGATAAAAGGTGAACAATGTTCAAGAAGATAGAAGTTGGTAGTTGATGTTGCATTTAAACTTTTGAAGATTGTAATTATCAGGGAAGCAAGGAAACGGAAAGGAGTTCCATAGATGGGAAGTGTGAAAAAAAAAGAAACTGTTGGAGTAGAAGTGGCATTTACATTTACCTAATTTAACAGTAAGAGAGTGGGACCTAGATGCCAATCTAGTAGCACACTTAAACTCGCATAGTGTGGGCACCAGGGGAAAAAAAAAGCTTGTCAGAGCAGTAGCCATGAAAATATTTGTAGAAAAGACAGAGGGAAGCCGCATCACATCAATGAGAAAGAGACTGAAGTCAAGGTGCCAAGTCAGGATCTATTACATTGCAGATACTTCTTTGAATTTTGTCAAGAATCTCGAGATGAATAGCAGAAGCACCTAACCAGATAAGGCAACAGTATTCAATGCACAGATGAAGGGTAGATTTGTAAATGTGACAAATGGACTCAAAACCTTTTGGTACAACACAGTGACCCAGCTTTCCTTGCAGTAGATGCAGCTGTTGATACAATGTAGTCATTACACTTCAAGTTAGTTGAGAATGTGAGGCCAAGAAGGTGCAGTGTGTTGCTCTCCATGAGTCTAGCATTAGCCATTCTGATGGTGGGCGGGAAACTTTCTCTATGGTGGTTAAATGAGAGCAGTTTTAGTTTTGGAGGCATTAAAATTTATAAGCCATTTCCTGCCCCAGTTAACCACTGATTGGAGGTACTTTTCAAGAGTAGTGGCCAGATTAACTTTGTCAACTCTGATGGATTTTCTATTGAGACAGGAGTAAATGGTAGTGTCATCAGCATAAATGCCTACTTGGGAACTGATGACATAAGGGAGATCATTCTTCTGAAAAATGTGATTGGTTCTGAACAAGCAGTCATCACTATAATCAAATGAAATGTGAAGTAGTCTGGCTGTTTGGTTCAGTAACTGAGCTACTGGACCTTCATATATCAAAGATAACAGGAGAGTTCATAACATATAAACTAAAATTCTTTAGTTGTTCAGCTTAGGAATCACAATGAGTTTCAGTGAGGAACTCAAATTTAAAAAAACAATTTTACTAAAACAAAAATACACCAAGTAGGATAAAGAGTGGATCAATAAGTCTGTCACCTTAATTTCCATCTGTAATTTTTGATATGTTTAATAAATATTGCATTAAGTTAATTGAGAAAGAAATTATGCTGAAAAAAAATGACTTTGTTGTTTAAAATAATTTGTCATTTCTTATCATTAGATTTATTGATATATCTGCATATACATACAGTGATTTTCCAAGTGTAGCTTGGACATGGCACAAGGCTGAATCCACGGGGCTCCCAGTGAGGATCGAACTCACTACTCATTCGTAATTGTTTTAGTGAGACAAGCTTGCTAACCATTACATACATGTGTGTGTGTGTGTGTATTTCTTTTACCCCTTTCCACCTTCAAAGGCAAACTAATACATTTGCTAGCCTGGAATATTAGCTGTACCATCTTTTTCTCATATGGGTATTTTCCATCTTGGAAATTTTGATTGGTGTGTGCAATTTCTTTTAATACAGGCCACCTTTAATATAACATCTTGGATTATTCAATGGGGAATAAATGCCCATTGTATCAGAGATTGTTACCAAATGCCCGACAATTTCATGTTTAATACATATGAAACTTGTAGTTGTGGCTGGCCGTCATGTAACACCATGTTACTGAAAATAATATTTTGCTCTACTATTTAGGTATGGAACACAGATTTTGGTGTTTTGGTATAACATTCTTTTCGCAATTATTCTGGTTTATTAAAAAATATGTAAAATAGGTGTGTTTGCCTGTATAGATAGATAGATAGATAGGAATATACTTAGAGAAGAACAGATAGATAGATAGATAGATAGGAATATACTTAGAGAAGAACAGATAGATAGATAGATTTTATACTTAGATAGAACAGATAGATAGATATATAGGAATATACTTAGAGAAGAACAGATTGAGATAGATAGATAGATAGATAGGAAATATACTTAGAGAAGAATAGATAGATAGATAGATGAATAAATATGTAGAAGAACAGATTGAGATAGATAGATAGATAGATAGATAGATAGATAGATAGATAGGAATATACTTAGATATAGATAGATTAGGAATATACTTAGAGAACAGATTGAGATAGATAGATAGATAGATAGGAATATACTTAGGAAGAACAGATTGATATAGATAGATAGATAGGAATATACTTAGAGAAGAACAGATTGAGATAGATAGATAGATAGATAGGAATATAGATGATTGAGATAGATAGATAGATAGATAGAGAATATATTGAACAGAGAACAGATTGAGATAGATAGATAGATAGAATATAATTTAGAGAAGAACAGATTGAGATAGATAGATAGATAGAATATACTTAGAGAAGAACAGATTGAGATAGATAGATGAGAAGAACAGAAGATAGATAGATAGATATAGGAATTTATAGAGAAAGAACAGATTGAGATAGATAGATAGATAGATAGGAATATACTTAGAGAAGAACAGATTGAGATAGATAGATAGATAGATAGGAATATACTTAGAGAAGAACAGATTGAGATAGATAGATAGATAGATAGGAATATACTTAGAGAAGAACAGATTGAGATAGATATAGATAGAGAAGAACAGATTGAATAGATAGATAGATAGATGAGAATACAGATTGAAGAACAGATTGAGATAGATAGATAATGGAATATACTTAGAGAAGAACAGATTGAGATAGATAGATAGATAGATAGGAATATACTTAGAGAAGAACAGATTGAGATAGATAGATAGATAGATAGGAATATACTTAGAGAAGAACAGATTGAGATAGATAGATAGATAGGAATATACTTAGAGAAGAACAGATTGAGATAGATAGATAGATAGATAGGAATATACTTAGAGAAGAACAGATTGAGATAGATAGATAGATAGATAGATAGGAATATACTTAGAGAAGAACAGATTGAGATAGATAGATAGATAGATAGATAGGAATATACTTAGAGAAGAACAGATTGATAGATAGATAGATAGGAATATACTTAGAGAAGAACAGATTGAGATAGATAGATAGATAGGAATATACTTAGAGAAGAACAGATTGAGATAGATAGATAGATAGGAATATACTTAGATAGATGAGATATAGAGAGATAGGAACAGATTGAGATAGATAGATAGATAGATAATAGAATATACAGATTGATAGATAGATAGATAGATAGATAGATAGGAATATACTTAGAGAGGAACAGATTTATATAGATAGATAGGAACAGATTGAGACAGGAACAGATTGAGACAGATAGATAGGAACAGATTGAGACAGATAGGCACAAACTGAAGCAGATAGATAGGAATATACTTAGATAGAGGACAGGTATTCTTAGAAATGAGCATTATTATCTATTGTCATTCTATATATACTGTATAAGTGTATACAACATGTACATTTAATTATCTAAAGTGAATATAGATTTCTCATTCAAAACATTTGTATGTAATGCAGTTTTGTTATTTGTGTGTATATGTGATGTCTGTTGTGGAGTCTGTGTACATGTTGTATGTGCAAATCTCTTCAATATGTGGATGTTGTTAATTGAAAAAATATTCAATTACCTTCAGGCTGTAACTTATTTACTTGTTTTTAGCCATTGTCTGCCCTTTATATATGTGGCTTAATTTATTTTCTGCCATGAAAATCTAAGAAAAAGGAAATCTACGAACTGACTTAGCATGTTAAGGATTTTACTACATGGCCTGAAAATTTTGCTGGTAATATGTATGGATGTGCATAAGGGAAGCAATTGTAAAATCATGTCAGGTCAAAATAATCACCTATTTTATATTTTAAAAGCTTATGAAAAATTTGTTTCTCCCATAATATTTGTGAAATTTGGTTTATAAAATTTATTTCCAATTTTTTGTTATATCTGTAAACAAAACAAAATTAACAATAAAATATTTAATCATTCAGTGCCTGGAACCATTCATTTTGGAAAACATTTAAATAATTTATGTTTTAAACATTTTTGGGGGGTTTTTTGCCTTCAAAATGTTATCAGTTACATATGATGTGATGAATGAATGCATCAATTTTCCATTTTGGGGATGTAACACAGCATTTCACATATTATTTGTGAGTTTTGCGTGCTGTCTTCTTAGATTTCCACTAATGGTCAATATTATCAGCTAAATATATATGCAGAAGCAATTTTGAAAAATTCAAGTTTTGATAAGTTTACTTTAAGTTGCCTCTTACTGTTTTAAAGACTTACTATAGTCAGATTTAAATGTGACATGACGTTATTGTCAAAACAAATGAATAACTTTTAACTTGCATATAACTGGAATAAATGTTGCCATTATTCAAATATAAAATATTCACTTCTAACAATTATGGAGGAAAGATTGTAATATTAATTAATTAATTAATTAATAAATGTTAATAATTAAAAAGAAAAGATGCAAATGTATTAAATATTATAGAATAAAAATAGTAACATTTATTTATTTTTTAATGTTTCTTTTTTTGTTTTCTTGCAGGTAAGTGTACTGGACATATAATTTGCAAATAGGAAATTTCCTATTTTTGAAATAGCTTCCTGTTGAGGTAAGTTATACTAAATATACTTAAAACATCAGTTTATTAATCATGTTCTCAAAAATTGAAAAAATAATCTTTAAATCCCTTTGACCTCATTTGAAAGGTTTAATCAAGTAGACAAAGAATTACCTAATTAATTGTTTAAAGAAAATTAATAATAATTTTGTTATTTGGGATTTTCAATATTTCTAAAGTTCTAAAAGGTGAAATAACATTAAAGCCAGAAGATCTTGGCGTCACAGGACTTTGAATCTTTATTGATATTCTCAGAATTTACTTAATCTGGAAACTTCAGATTCATTGAGAATTTGAAATTGGTCAGAACAAATCTTTACTATTTATAATAGTGCTTTCTTCTGTTCTGCATGTCTTTGAAGATGGTCAGAAAATAAGTTGACCAAAAAAAAACACTGAACTTGAACATTGCACAAACCTTTTAAAATGTTATTAAACATAGCATGATCCCATTAAATTGTCATTAAATATGACACCAACCTACTAAAAGGTCATTAAACATTGTATAAATCCTTTAAGAGGTCATTAAACATTACATAACCCTTTTAAAAGGTCATTATATAAGATCTGTACTTGGAAAGATTAGTACTATATTGAGCTTGATCTTTACTGGGTTCCCTATAAGTGTGACCTTCTACCAGAATAACAGAGGTTTAAATATATGGGAAGATGTTTTAATGGACAACAGAAAATGAGACACAGAAAACTGAAGGCATATTGAAATAGTGAAAATAGTGAAAAAATGTGTGCCCTCCCCTTCTTAAGCTAAAAAAAAAAAGAAATATTAAGAAAGATGAACATTACTGAACTGCAGTGTAATATCATCTTTCAATATATGGTAGTGAATGCTGGACAATTCCCTCACAGATGGAGAGGAAACTTTGAGGTAACAGAAATGTTGTCCTACAGAAGGATGCTGAGAATGCCATGGACTGAACATGTGAGCAACGATGAAGTTTCAAAGAAAATGGAAACAGAAATGACACTTATATTCAGAATCAGTGCCAGTTCTGGAACACATAATGAAGAAAGAGGGATAGGAAAATTTAACACTCCCAGGACATAGTTAAAAGAAGACCAGATAGAAACTGTAACTTACCAAAGAAGCTTTTGTAAATGGATGGCAGGACAGGAACTCAGAGAGATAGTAAGGGGACAAACATTGCTAAGAGCTACAAAGGATAGGAAGTTGTGGAGAGCTTTGGTCACTCACTTTCTGAAGAGACTTGCTATATAAATGAATGATGCTGAATCATTTGTATGTCATAAAAAAAAGATGGAGTTTTAGTATGCCTTTAAAAAAGGTAGGGGTATATATGCCAAGAAGGTGGCAGGTGGGAAGTGGGCTCTTGTATGCTATATCGTCATAAATATAAAGAAATACTAATTCTTATAACCCAATTTTGAGTTTTAGTTAAAATCAATGTCTTCTGGGTGTTGGGTTCCATATCAATTAATGGATAAGACTCATCGATATAGATACACATCAGAGAAGGAAAATTTTCAACTTTGACTTTCTTCCAGGTTTTATTCTTAAAAGTTCTAAAACATTTAAAAATTTAAAACAAACTTTTAATATCAGCTTTTGTTAAATATTGTATAAATTATTTAAATAATTCATTATTTAAATTAAAAAATCTTATTTTTCAATGTATGTATAAAAATCTTGTTATAATTTCACTCAATCTCTTGACTGACATTTATGTTCTTTGCACTTTGAAAAAAGGATTTAAATATTTATATAAAAATGGAGGAATCAAGACATTCTGGCAGTATGAGAGAATAGCAAATAAATCATGGCAAAGGTCATTGGCTTCTCCAGGAAATGTCCCCACATATTTTATTTTTAACAGTTGGAACAATATAAAACTGTTGAAAGTCTAATCAAAGAAATTTTTTTTTGTTTTATTTTGAAGTTTTGTTAATAAATCCTGGGATTGTTTTTTTTGGGTTTTTTTTGGCCTGTTGAGAAAACAGAAATTGTGTAGAATCAACAAAGCAGAAGCTTCTCAGATTCAATAGGAATTTGATTCCAAGTGAAAAGAGATCAATTTAAAATTAACGCAGTTGATGCTACACTTTTTGTTGGATTAACAAAAACAAATCTTTAATCTTAAATTGCATGAAATAAATCTTGCAACAGGGCAACATGATATGGCTCATGTGAGCTGGATTGAACTGACTTTCATTCCACAAAGCTATAAACAAACACTCAGATTTTGATTCTTTGGATGTGAACCAAATCTTTCATGAAATTTTATTTATGGTTGAAATCAATCCATACATCTGAGAATGAAAGTGGACGCAGAATCGGACAAAACTATTTTCTCAAACGGACACTAGCATAAGCAAAGCAACTCGATGGCTGGTAATATATGCAAAGAAAACTAAGTGGCCCAATTGACTTTATACTGCAGTCAAAATGTGTGCTTAACTCTGTAATCATTATTGATTGGTTTTCTGACTTGGTGACTGTATTGTGTAAGTTTCCTTCTTGAGTGGCATCTATCAGTTTTAATTATTGAAAAGTTAAAAGCCTGTTTTATAAGATGGAAATATTGAGGAGGCTTGAGAAGCCAGACTGCTCAAAAAATGAGAAAGTTTGCAAATTTAAGAAAGAGAAAACATATTGATGGGTATTTCAGACATTTTAATTGACTGTTATTTGAGTTATAAAAATATCGACATTCTTTAAAAGATCAATTTCTTTCTCCTCCTTGTTGAAGGGAATGGTCCAAATTCATTGAGCATTTTGAATCTTGAGTTAACCATCCTACAAAATATAAGTATACTACAGATGTATGTTTATGTCAAAAGAGAAATGTTGTTTTCAAAATTAATCAATAACACATCAATATTTATTATTCAAAAGCCTGGATTATCTTATTTTATTCATTAAAGACTATCAAAGACCTTTTCTCACAAAGATTTCCCTACAAAAGCCTACAAAACACTTCTATCTATTTTCTTTTGTTTAACAATAGAATCATTGTAGATTTTATAAAGGTTGATAAATAAGATCTCCTATTCTACAGCATCTCTCTATCTTGGAGAGAGAAACATGCACACCATCTGTTTAACTTTGCTTTGGAACAATTAGACTTTGAAGTTGAAATATTAGAAATTTTCTTCTGTTGCCAAAGTTGAAAGACATAATTGGATCAAAAATGGAACAGAAAAATTTTCATATCCAAAATGTAAAAGTGAATGAAACATTTGGAAATAATGTATGGCAAAAAATGGTGACTATTTACATCATTTGGATTGTGGTCCTCATCTTTATTGCCATTTTCATGATGTTGTCGCCATTGTACGTTCCAGCCTTCTTCAGGTGATATACTTTGGAATTTAAAACCTCAGTAAAGGGAGAGTTGAACTACTAAAGGGGATTAACTTAAAGTGTGATATCCAAAATGGCATGGCATGTGGAATTAGAACATTCTATACCTGTGGATTAAATAAAAGGTTCAAAATGAAGTAAATATTGTAAGTAGTTATGAATTATGGTGACAATGCTGAAAAATAAACTTCTATTATTTACATTCAGACTATTATCTTTATTTTTATTGTGATCATCACACCATTTTGGCCATTGGGCCCCTCAGGTTTCTCCAGGTGTTCATCTGGGTAGTAAACACTTAGAATGGATTAGGAATTTTATTAACTTACTTAATAAGTAAAACTAATATTAGTTGTAATTGATAAAACAGGATTTTGCTCAGTAAACTAAGGAACAACACTTCACTAGACAATAAAAAAAAATTCAAACTGAGAAATTTCAATAAATTTAATGCTTACAGCTAAATCCACTTTGACAGGAAGGGAGACAAGCCTGCTACTGTCACTGCTTAGAACATATCCATTAAGCTGAGGAGTAGGAGCTTCATATCTTCAGAAGTTTGTTAGTCAAAGATGGTGAGTTCAATCCTTGGAAGAACCACAAGAGTCATCAGCGTTAACAATAATATTAATCTAATTGGTATTATTATAACTATTATTAATAATATAAGTATACTGATAAAAAATGACTGGATTATTTACATATGGATTAGCACTTTTACTTACAAAATAGGTGCACTCTATCTAGGATCAGCATAGTATCTGTGAACTCTGTGAAAAGTGCTACACAAAAAAAAGACTTGTGCACATTTCATTGCATAGGTGAATTATCTAACCTGATAAATACATTTCATAATTATTATTAATATTAATTATGATGTCCTACACCTGCTACTACTATTATTTATTCATTCATTGAATATCTACATCGCTAGTAAGTCATGGTTTACACTGACGGTTAAGTGACAGTAGGTCACTTCAATACACTCATTTTCTCTTTAGTATTCAAACTGTTTTCAGCAGCATTGTCATCTGGATGGTTTAATCTCTTTCTCTTATTTACACTTACTTCAGCCTTTCATAATTTATTTGCATTTGTTTCTAGTGATCCAGTAACAGCCAGCATTACTGT